AAATGAAGTAAGGAAATGATGCATAGGCTTTAGGAAAGCCTGGAAGAGTGGGATTGATTTTTGATTTGTGTCTTTGTCCAGATCTGGAGTTCATGGGATTCATGCTGGGGTGCCCCATCACTTCAACTCTCTGGGGCCTCCACAAATAAGCTTAATTAGTCCTTATTTCCTGTAGCATTCCCTCAAACACGTGGGGAAGCAGGAGCACTCCCAGGCCCTCCTGGAGATTGCTTGCTGTTCCTCAAATTATGCATCTGCAGGTCTTCCAGACATTTCTTACATTATATACTTTTTTTTCTTTCTTTTACATCCACTGTAAGTTAGTCACTAATTTCATGAACGTCTTGATTCGTGCGAAACAGAGATGCCAGAGTCTTCAGAGTTCATTTCTTTCAGCTGTAGTTTCAGGGAAACTATTTTGTGTTAATAGCAACAAAAACATATAGGGGCTGACAAGCCTTTACCCTGGTGCACACTTTGCACCCCGCTCCTTCCCCCTTATCTGAGAACAGTTCAGTTTACTCAGTTTTTTTGGTGTGGCTTAGCTAGAAAGTGCCCACAGACACACTTCACTAAGTAAGCAGTTCACTTACTAAACGTTGGCTTCACTTATCACTGGAAAAGCTTTATCTCTCCACTTTCAGATCCGTGAGCTTTGTGGCACAAAAATCTGAGGACCATCACCATCTATTTGGAAAAACAGGCATTTTATTGAGTTAAATCAAACTCATAATCACAAATAAATTTGAACATGTTCTCCCAGCATGTACAGCTCTATACCATAACCTGCATGATTATTATGCAGGGCACCAAGATGAAATTAAATGAAATGGACCAGAGCCCAGGCAGATGCCAGGCTTCCCTGCACAGCTGGGTCTTTGCTGCTGGTCTCCTCTCTCTGGATGTTATATAGGCTCTGGCCTCCAGGGAGTAATTTTCCACTTCTGCTGCAGGTGGAACAAGTCAGCCAGTTGGCCGTGTTTATAGAGGCAGCATTAGACTATCACAGACAGTCCACAGAGATCCTGCAGGAGCTTCAGACCAAGCTACAGATACGGTAAGGACCTTCGTGTTCATTACAAGCCGAGGGCTGCAGAGTTAAAACCGATCGACTTCAATCTGTCTGTCCATTTCCCCTTTCCCCTGTGTCATCCTGTTTTGAAGTTTCTTTAGCTGGCTTTCGTGGTTGGGTGTGGGATGGGACTGAGAAAGTAAGTGCTGGCTCTGGCCAATAGGACAGAACCAGGAAAAGAGATCTGGCAGCTTTTCTCCTTTTTCTTTTCATTAAAGCCCTTTTTTGTGTGACCTGTATTTAGGGCACCTGCCATGGAGATTGGCTCCTCCAGAGCTGTCCGGGCTTCCTTGCTGACTTGAGAGCTCAGCTCCCCGTTTACAAGCTGGGGGTGGCGATGGTATATACCCCAACATCTAGGGCTGTGGAGAAGAGTGAGATGATGTTCAGAAAATATGTAAATATCTGTTAAAAAAAAAAAGATGTGCTTTTACTTCAGTACTACAAATATCAGGCCGTGTGCAGAATATTGACTGTAAGAGGTATTGAAAGAGTCAAAAATATCTTCAAAGAAAGGTTCTGTGTTCTTTAGGGCTTTAATGATAAATGTATTCTATATTCTAAAAGTTAGTATCATATATAGTATGCATGGAAACTCTGTTAATTAAAAAATTGGGTTAAAAAAACTACCCTATTTTTTGGTGAGGTTTGATAAAAGAAAATTGTGTTACACAGGTTTATGGTAATGAATAAAATTGGTGGGATTTTCACTTGAATCAATGCTGTAATTATAGAGGGAAGACAGAAGGTGTCCCCAATCTCGGAAGCATCCACTTCTGTGGGCAGATAGTTGATCCAGTACTCAGATGAGCATATTTTCATAATTCTGTCTCTATCAGAGGGGAAAGAGGTAGAAGGCAACTAACACTGTGAAGTGCGCACTGTGTCCTGGGCACTTGCTGGATGCCTCGGAGACTGTGTGAGGTCAGATAGTCCTCTTCAAGACAAATTTCACTTAGAAGCTCAAACAGTTGAAAAACTACATTTGTGATATCATCTCTATCACTGTGGGCTACTTGAGAATCAGAGTGTAAAAACCACCACCTGTGAGCGAGGTTTGCATGCTCCTCAGGGCAGAGCGAATGCACGCTCGGAGGCTTGGCTTTTCTCATCAGATGTGCGGCTCATCTTGCAATGTGTGTTACAGAATATCAGCTGCATCCAACATCCCCAAACGAGAGTACAAGCCAAGGCCTGTGAAGAGGAGTTCTAGTGAGCTCAACGGGGTTTCCACCACCTCTGTAGCAAAGACCACAGGTAGGTTGGCCATTCTAAGTGTGCCGAGTGTGCCCTTCAGTAAGGCACTTCCAGAAACATTTATTCACTGCTCGTTGCTGGGTCTTTCTGTGTGAATACACTGAGACCCTGAATTGCTTTCTTTGGTTGTTTGATAAATCTACCCCCCCCCCAATAATACCGCTTTTTCCTGATTCCTGTTTTCAGGAGTTTATATAAAATTTTGAAAACCAGCACCAGAAGAATTCCATCACCTGTTGCCTTCGCATGTGGCAATTAGACCCTTGGCCACAGAGCCGTCACTGGTCATTGCCACATTGTCATTTATATTCAAATGTTTAACTCTTTCCAACTATTTTACGAATTTATATTTTTTTAAAGTTTGAATTAGCATTCTGTCGAGTATCTGTTATATGCTAGGCCTGTCCTGAGTGCTTCATTATTATTTTTTAATTAGACAAATGACATAAATGTATTCTTGAGTAAAATAATCAAACTGAGAAAAAAGTACATATAGTATAAATCACTCTGTTGTCTTTTGTGATCACTCAGTCCATCCCAGTCCCCTTCCTAGATGCTAACATTTTCATACGAGTACTGTCATATCTATTTTTGTGCATGTAGTGTATGTAAATATACTATTTTTTTCCCTCTTTTTTTAAATGCAAGATCATACCGGGAGTATTGTCCTGCAACTTGTGTCTTTAAATGTGCCACTGTTTCTTGGAGTTTTTTCCATGTCATGCATATAGATCTATTCCACTATTTTTAATGGCTTCACAGTTTTCCATTGTACCATTTCCTTATTAGTGGACATTATGGTTGTTTACGGTTACTCGCTAAAATGAATATCCTTTATCTGCCTCCATATGCTGGAAATGAAATTACTGCATCAGAGTGAATGTACATTTTATTTTATTTTATTTTATTTTATTTTATTTTATTTTATTTTATTTTTTTGTCTTTTG